AGGCTCCCTGGGGCAGCAGCGTCAGGCGCCACGGGCCCGCCTTCTGGGAGCAGGGCGCCGTGCCCGCCAGCTGGCCCGTGGGCCGCTCCAAGCCGGACTCCTGCCCAAAGCGGTCCCCACACCTGGGTCTGCGGGGCAGGGTCCTCAGTGCCCCCCCGGCCGGGTCCACCTCGTCTTCGGGATGGCGGGGGTGGGGAGATGACGGAGCCTGCCCGGGCTCTGCCTCCGAGTCTGAAAGGAGACGTGGAGGGGCAGATGGCACCCACCCCGGCAGCGGCCTCCCCCTCCGCCGGACCCCGGCTCTGCCGATCTAGCTGATAGCGCCAGCACGGAGCGCGGCAGTGCTGGGGGCCAGGGTGAGGGCAGACCTGGGGGACAACGCCCCCAGAGCCCAGTGGCAGAGCCCCCTGCGTCGGGTGCTGCCCAGGCTCCGGGCAGGGATGCGGCCGCCCCCCTGCGGCAGTGCCAGGAACCAGATGGAGTCTAGGTGGCAACGGTCTCCGGGCCTGCCCCCCTGTGAAGCTCCTGACACCTCCAGGACCTCCCAGCAAGGGGGGACGGAGGCCCCACGGGGGCGTCCCAAGGGCTTCCATGGGGTGGGGGATGTGGCCAGGGGCTGAGGGCCGGAATTAGTGGGGCCCCAGCCAGGCTGTGGGGAGAAGGGGATGGGGACCAGAGCTTAATTTAGGGGACTAGTGGAGGCCCACCGCACTACACGGTGGGGAGGAGGGGACCAGGATGACTCCCTGGCTGCTGGCCTGGTGGCGGACTGCTGCTGAGTGGGAGATGCTGACTGGCTACAGCTCTGGGGCTCAGGGAAGGGGTCCGGGCCATCGAGGACAGAAGTGAGCACTGAGGCAGGGACAAGTGAGATGCAGTGTGCTGGGAGCGTGGTGCCCGAAGCAGTGGGCGCTGCAGAGAGCCCGGCACGTGGCAACCATGGGTACGTGCACTCGGGCAGGGACCGGATGGGGGTTCCGCTCACTCACCTGGCCAGCAGGTGTCTCTGCCAATCTGGACCTCCTCCACATCTTGGAGATCCAGGTCGGACAGCTGCTCCTCCTGCAGTGGCCGGGAGAGCGCCTCAGGGCTGCAGCCAGAGGGGTCTGGGGGCACAGGTGGATGGGGGCTTGTCTCCCCCTCCTCTCCAACCTAGCCCAGGCCTCGCCCAGCTGCCTGTAGAATGCCACTGCTCCTCACACGACACACCTCCTTGCCCTCCTGGGGTCCCGGGGGGCCGGTGCTCTCCAGGAGCCACAAAGGGAGACGGGTGCAGCCACGTGACACTCCTTCCCGGAGAGTGAGGGGCCCTAGGCACTGCCTGGCTGCTCTGGAGTGGGGGGCAGTTCTGGGGACACGGGCCTTTCTGGGCTGCAACCTTCACAGTCCCCTCCCCCAGCCCTCCAGCCGCTCACCACCACCTCTGAAGGCCGGAGCCCTGGCTGGGCTGTGTCCCCCAACCCCGGGCACCTCCAGGGAGGCCGTGACACAGCACCTGCTCTGCTCAGTGGAGGCCCCAGGCCTGGGCTCTCGTGGACCACAGGGGAAGGCGTTCGGGGCCAGGAGGGCAGGGGGAGCTTTTCTGGCTGGAAGGGACGCTCCTTGTTTGTAAAATGGCACAGAAAGTCCATGCTTGGATGTGGACATGGGGAGAAGAGAGTCGGGGCGGGGGAGAGCCAGAGTTCAGGTCTCAGGTGCCGAGGCCAGGCACCCTATCTGGGAGGCCTGTCCCTGGCTGGGGGGTAGCGCCGCCCCGGCCACACGGCTCCTCCCCACCTCTGGGCAGCTGGTACCTGGGGCTGCACGTCCTTCTTGTCCCCTGCTCCTGCCCACAGACTGCCCCTCCAGCCGCAGGGCTCCAGACCATACCTTCCAGAACGAGTTCTGGAAGCCTGTGGTTTGGCAGGCAGAGCCTTGTGCCAGGCCCCTTGGCCAGCCCAGCACAGTCCTAGCTCCCAGTGTCTGCCCTGTTCCACACCCCACCCACCTAACTCCCTGCTCTGGAGGCTCGGGGAGGAGTGGCCGCCAGCTCTTTGCACCAGTTTCATGCCCACCCCACCCCCAGGGACCAGGCCGAGTGCCCTGTGCCCATGCTGCTCCCTTCACCCGCTCTAGCGGACAGATGGCTCCCCGCTCAAGGACGCCCTCTGCCCCCCTCCAGCATTGTGCCCAGCCAGATTTAGAAACTGGCTCTTGTGTGAGGTGATGTGGGAGACTGGTGGCACCCAGCCCTGGGGCGGGCATGAGGGACCCCAGGTTTTGCAGGGCGGACCCCACCCACTCTGGTCTGGGAGTTGAGAGACTGGGGCTCCAAAAGTCCTGGCCTCACTGGCTGGAGGGCCCTGGGTAGGTTCCTGAGATGCTGGGGTCTTTCCTCTGAGGGCATGTGTGGCCCCCAGGGCACCGAGGAAGTCACCAGCAAAGGAAATGAGGTCGACCGTGAGGGGCAGCCTCTGCCCTGGACAGCAGCTTGGTCATGGGGCCCAGCTCTCTCTGCTGGGCTGCTCTCCACGAGGAGGGGACGAAGGCAACCCCTCTCCTCCCTCTGGCCCCTTGGACCTCCCTGGGCCCCATCACCCTCCAGCCACGCCTCCTCCTTCAGAGCCTGCTGGAGGCCCCGCCCCTCTCTTCTTTAGGATCAACCTTGGTTGTTTTCCTTGCAGGCAGCCCCCCCCCGCCCCGTTTCTGAATAGTACAGAGCGTGCTGAAGCTGCTGGCTGCAGCCCACACTCCCTCTCACTGGGCAAGGCCCCTGGGCACTTGAGCGCACTTGGCTGTGGCTCAGGGGACCCAGCCCAGCCTTCCAGGCTCTTGCTGGATCAGGGGCAGCCCCACTCTGCCTGGGCAGGAGGACCTGCATCTTGGGCACCAGTCTTCTCATCCAGCAGAACTGGCTGGGTCTGCATGTCTTCGGGACAGCCCCTCCCCAGTCCTACGTCCTGCCAGTTAGAAGCCACGGGCCCCAGCTTGCTGGGCCCAGTGTGGGGAGGCGGGCTTGAGTCACACTGATGTGTTCTAAATCCTACTGGCTTCCACTGGCTCACGTCTGGGCTTCCATGTCCCTGTCAGAAACATGGGGACAGGAGGCCCTACCTTGCCAGGCTGTTTTGAGAGGTGGCATGAGAAACTGGAGGTGCAGAGTGGGCCCCGGAATCCTGACTGCATGGGGACAGGGGGTGCGGACACAGGGGGTGGGGGCCCTGGGGGAGGCCCTCAAACCACCCTGCAGGGAGAGGCAGATGTACCAGCAAAGGCCTGCAGAGCATGTTCTCCTTCCCGGCAGCACCCAACTCCACACCCCCCCACGCCCCCAGCCTGGTCTCCATGGGGATGGGCATGGGGCCGGAAGAGATCCCCGAGCCAGGCGCAGCACAGGGCACGGCTAGGAGCCGCTCCCGTTCCAATCCTGGACTGAACTGGGAGGTGAATCCCATGTTCCCTAGCTGTGTGTGACCTCTGTGGGCCTCACTGTCCTCACTGTTGATGTGGCCACCAGGCTTCAAGACAGCCCGCACAGAGCCCTCGGCACAGAGCGGGCGCATCTCAGCCATCATCACGTCACTCCCTGTAATGCCGGGGCTTGCCAAGAGTTGAGAGCCCCGGACGCAGAGCGAGCCCCACCCCCTGAGCCCAGGGCCAGCTCTTTAGAACACAGGTGAGATGAAACACACCCAGGCCCTTGACCTGGTGGTCATCAGCTCACCTGTGTCCTCAGCTGTGAGGAGCGAGGCCAGGCCTCCTGGGGCACGTGGGGCATGGACAGAGCCCCTGCGACTTCCTGATGGCTGTGAGCAAGACCCAGGGGCACCACATGCCATGGGCTTAGACACCTCTCCGCCCCTGGCGCCCTGCCAGTCATGGGCTACTGCCATGCCTTTGACATCCTGAGATGAGACCCTGCCAGGAGGCTGGGACAGGCTGGAAGCTCCATCCCTGCAGGTCCCGGGGGGCCCCAACCCAAACCAGCCTGCCCAGAACTCTGGATGCTATTTCCCTGGGGTGGGAGCAAAGGCTCATAAAGGGAGATGGGAGGACACAGGGCCCTACCAGAGGCTGCTCTTCCCCAACCCCCAAACACAGTCCCACGGGACTGTGGAGAGCCATTGCTCACAAGGCTTGGTCTCCAGCCTCAACCATGGCTGCCCCGTCCCGACCCAAGTGTGAGGGTGCAGGAGCCCCAGCACCCAGGGAGCCGCCCTGTTTCCAGCCTGCAGTACCGGTGGTGCGGGCCAGGCGAATGGTGCAGGGAGGCGGAGGGAGCGCAGGGTGAGTACCGTGTTGATGACCGTGGAGGTGAAGCCGGGCCTCGCGGTGGTGGGTTCCAGGTGTCCCTGGTGACGCAAGATTGACAGGGGACGGGACACGAGGGGGCTCCTGACTGTCCCCCAGGGTCGCCATCTTCCCCAAGGCCTGCTGAAGGTATGCACACCTGGGACCTGGGGAAATGAAAACCATGGCAGGATGAGGGGGGTCAGAGGGATGAGTGGAGGGCGGGGGCAATGCCAGCTGCCGGTCAGCCACAGGGGAGCTGGGGGCTCCTTCGCCGGAGGGGGGGGCCAAGGATGCCGGGGGGGGGGGGCATGTGGGGCTTGGAGTGAGAGCAGCTGGGCCCCTGGTATGTTTATTCCGCCACGTGGACAGCACCAGCACACCCACAGGGACCAAGTCCAAGCGCTCATCTGAGCAACGGTCTGGTCTGGAACGTTCTCCCAACCCAGATCCTAAAGCAGGTGGGATCTCCCTGAAGAACCTCCTGCAGCACAGCTGGGGGCTGCTGGCCCTGGAGAAGGGTGAGAAACCGCACTATGCCTGCTGGAGCATGAACGTTCTAGATTAAATCTTAACAAGACAATTCCTGAGAGGAAAACCGCCTTCCTCTGACCCTGCAGAGCCCCGGAAGCTGCGGGCCGGAAACCGTATGAGCGGCCCACAGTGCTCTGAGCCTCCTCTGGGGTCGAAGGTATCTGGCTTTAATTTGGTTTGCAAGCATGGTTTGATGCAGTGTGAGAATTTTTCTTTTACACTGTGGTGAAGCAGGATTCCTCGTTAGGGTGTGAAGAAGAGGACGCAGGAAGGACAAAAGTTAAAGTACATTAAGCAATGGTTGCCAACAGTATCTGCTTCAAGGTGGGGAGGCAGCCTCCACAGGGCTCCTCGCCAGCGCCTGGGCCATCTCGGCACACCGCATTCCCTAATGATGGGAAGGGTCACGGACGCTGGGGGAAGTGGACACAACTGGACGCAGGGTGGGGCTGCAGTCATGACGTCTGGGTGCGGGCCCTCAACCTCCTAAGTCTCAGCTCAAGTTACCCGGTTCGCTTCCCGGGACTTATCAGGGAAGGGGCACATTCCCCCACCCTGGTTCGCACAGGTAGCGCGCGCACACGGCCGCCCACCGGGCCACCGGCACGAGATCCGAGCGCAGGCTCCACGCCCACACTGCTGCAAACGGCTGCAGGCGAAGGGGACGGAGACGCCGCGGCCAGGAGCAGACCTTCCCGCCCCCTCTCCTCCCGGCCTGGAGCCTGAGCCCCGCGGGGAACGGCCCGATCTCGGGGCGCTGGGCCACAGGGCGCAGCCTGCCCGGCCGAGGTCCGGCGCTCACGCCCCCGGCCGCGGACTTCTCTGAGCCTCCGTGTCCCACCTGTAAAGTGGGCACAGCGCCGGCTCCGTCCCCGCGG